ATTATACAGATAAAACTAAAATATACACATCATTGAATTTTATAATAATAATTAAATAATTAATTTATAAAAATAATTTATTGACTAAGAGATAATTATATAATTAAATTTTACTCTATTGAAAACCCAAATTTCACCATTTGATGTTGGTTTAGGGACACCATGTCCATTGTAATGAAAAAGAACTCTTTCTTCCTTTGCATTTCGCCTTAATGAAACACAAAGTTTTTTTACTTCTTCTATTGTTGGATCCAATGATTGTTTATAACGTGCTCTAGGTTGCCATCTCTCATATTGTTTTTGTAAATTAGCTCCAATCATTTCAAGAGCTTTTTGAGGTATCATCATTAAAGGATCTAATAATAGAAATAAACTTGAATTTTCAATAAAAAAAAAAAAAGAGTTAAAAATGTATATACCTATCCAGCACTCCAGTCGAGCACATGGTTGTATTTTGAAAACATCAGGAGGGTCTACACCAACATTCAAACATAGCACAAGTGCTACACTCACAGTTTTCATCTTTAACACAAATATTACTAAAGATATCTTATTATTGATAGAACATAAAATATAAATATTACCCGTTCTTTGAGTCGCCATGAGCTGACTATAGTTTGTACACTTTTTATTTCTTCGATATGTCTTTTTTTTGTGAAACATAATGGTAACTGCCAGTCGGCTGACTCTAAACTATCGGCACTGCCAGATGACTTAGTCAACGTTTCTTCCATTCATACAGGCGTACAAGATTTGGAGACTATTGTTTGGATCTTTTAAAAAAATACTACTTATTAACTAATTATAAACAAAAATTTAAATATTTTACTACCCTAACTGCAACAACGCCCGACCTCGTGTTTATAATCATTTAAAAAAAATTTTATCTCATTAATTTAAAAAAAGGTGATAACCTCTATTTGATAATAACATTTTGACGTTACCGATTTTGGTTTTCGTGGTAAAAATGTTTTTACAGTAAGAAAAAGTGCACATGTGTTTAATTCCTTTCAAGTTAAAATACATTAACTTAATCATCATATTATTACAATTGTAAATAACAATTAACTATTAATATATGTAGTTTATAATTTGTGCTGTAAGATTTTAACTGAAAAACTATCTAGTTTTATTTTATTATTGTAATTTTTTTTTTTTTGAGAATTTCAAATTGTCAATTTGCTAGTGAGTATTAGATGTTGATATTTCAATTAAATTTACATTAATAGTAGAATAAGTTTTAGAAATGAACAGAAGACCTCAGTCCTACAACTACAAACCACATTCAACCTCTTCAAAACCAACAGGTCCTAGTTGTGTTATATGTTTTAAACCACAATCAATATATTCAATTGGTGCTTGCGATCATCCAGTGTGCTATGAATGTTCAACTACAATGAGAGTTTTGTGTGATCAAAAAGAGTGTCCAATATGTAGACGAATTATGACCAAGGTGTCAATGTAGTTTGTCTTATTGAAATGTTTTTATTTATACTATCAAAAATTAATATTTTAGCTTTGATGTTTAACTTAAAAGCTATTGGTTTTTTTGTATACATATGCAAGATTACTTCAGTTTTATTTGAAAATTCATCAAAAAACTACAAAATGTATCTAATTGAAGCTATGAGCGCTATAATTTTGAAAAAATTCCCTCTAATTCCAATTACAAAGAATATGACCCCAAAAAAATTAGTTTTCACTTTTAAAACTTTTAAAACAAGGTTCAAAACTAAATAAAATTAAGGCTTGTTTAATGTAATATATGATTTAAAAAAAAAAATGTTCATGAGGCTTTTCATATATGAGTAAACGTTCTCATAATCAAAAACTCTTGTAAATTTGATATGAAAGATATTCAAAAAGTAAATTTCCCTGTGTTGGGGAAAAAAATAAAAAACTATTTTTGGGCTATAAAAATTAATTTATTT